ATATATATATATATATATATATATATATATATATATATATATATATNTNTNTNTNTNTNTTTTTTTTTTTTTTACTTTTCAAGACAAAAAAAGCAATAGGAAATAGAATTTAACACCAAATTTCATTTCATCCATTTAACAATGTTGTTGAAAATCAATAAACGACAATTTTAGGGTCATTGGTAAGGCAATTGAATGTTTGAATGGAATATGGAATAAGATGAAAGGAAAAACGGATAGGATAAGTTTAAAAAGCATGCAAATTTGATTGTTCATTTCAAGATGAAATGTAAAGTGGTGCTCATCCGATTCAAATCATTTGATATTTCATATGAAGTGTAGACAGACGCATATACACACACACACACACACACACACACACATACATATATCAAATAAATGATTCATTATTGTAAATTGAAATATTGCATAACATATTCCAGATAATGATAATATTTATCATTTTAATTCCGGATACTGATGACATTTATCATTTCAATTCCGGACAATGATACTGATTAGTTGAATGAATATGATATTGATTGATTAAATTCCAGATAATGATAATATTTATCATTTTAATTCCGGACAATAATATACTGTTGAATTAAAATGCTATCAAAATTGTCACCTTGAATGTGATGATGATGATGTTTCCGGTGCACTTTCCTGTTCACTACTTTTACATGCTGTTAAAGATGGAGTTTCTTGCTTCGTATGCCTTCTCATTTCATTTAACATTGCCAATCGTTTATTCTTCTAAAAATCAATCTTTCAGGAAATATTTCCGATTAATTTTTCGTTTTATTTGAGGAAAAAAAAAAATTCAGAGAGAGAGAGAGTGAGAGAGAGAGGAAAAAAAAAGAAGAAAAGAAAATGAATCAAAAAAAAAACAATCAAATTTAATTTCTTGATTAATTATTCTTAAATAAACTTTTTTTTCAATTTTTAAATTTTAAACTTGCAAATTTCCAAAAAATGCTAATTTATCAATTGAATTTAAAATCAAATAACTGATTGAAAGAAAAAAGCGAAAAAAAAGTAAAATTTTGAAATTTTACCAAAGAAAAAAAATAAAAATTAATGCATTTATTTTACCTGTTCACTTTTAGCAGCTAATAATTTTGCAGCTCGATATATGCCTAAATACAAATATAGCATGACAAATAAGGTTGACCAATAATATGAGATATACATTCCCATATTTAAGATTGGATTTGTCATAAATTGTACATAGCATTCATTATCTTTTAACATTCGTTCACCCGTAAATTTATCATAGCCAAATATTGATAAGCCAAATAATATGGTTGGGATCTGAAAATGTCATATAGGTATAATGTACAATTTGCGCTTCTTGCATGAATTACCTGGAGAGTGAAAAAAAATTACTCAAAAATATCTCAATAATTGATCAATTTAAAAATAGTAATAAAATAACTTTTTTTTTGACAGAATGACAAAAAAATTTTACAACAAATTACTGTAAAATTACCGATAACTTAATTACTCATTGTTTTTTCTAAACATAACAATGATAAATGAAATATTTGCGGGTAATTAGTAGCTTTTTTTAGATAAATTAACAGACTAATAGATGAAATTTTTATATTTCAAAATTAATTTTAACTATTTATTTTAGTTTACATCAAATGATTAAGTTATCAGTGTGAGGTAATTTCAAAATTTTGATTCAAATTCTCAGCACAATAACAACAACAATAATAATAATAATAATAATAATAATAATAATAATAATAATAATAATAATAATAATAATAATAATAATAATAATAATAATAATAATAATAATAATAATAATAATAATAATAATAATAATAATAATAATAATAATAATAATAATAATAATAATAATAATAATAATAATAATAATAATAATAATAATAATAATAATAATAATAATAATAATAATAATAATAATAATAATAATAATAATAATAATAAGTAATAATAATAATAATAATAATAATAATAA